AAATGGACTACTAGTACTCATGAACTAGATTGAGCGTAACAAAAACAATAACAAAGATAATTTCTGATCTATAACATCTCGTATAAAACTAAAGGATTTACTAATTTGAAATTATATTAATTAGTGTTGTTATAATGTAATGTATACTGTAGTGTATATGTATCAGTTTTCTGGTGAATATGTTTGCAGGACGGATATAGTTTCCTCTCTGTACTTGTACTGAGTCAACACAATAAAATTAGTTTCCGTCTTTTCTCGCCTTCAGCAAACAGAGCTTAACATCATTATATTATATAGAAATAGAGAACCTTGGAGTTCAAGAGTAAAAATGGGAAACCCTGGATATAGGAGTATACCTAGGAAACCCTGGATACAGGAGTATATACAGGAAACCCTGGATACAGGAGTATATATAGGAAACCCTGGATACAGGAGTATACATAGGAAACCCTGGATACAGGAGTATACTTAGGAAACCCTGGATACAGGAGCATACATAGGAAAACCTGGATACAGGAATATATATAGGAAACCCTGGATACAGGAGTATATATAGGAAACCCTGGATACAGTAGTATATATAGGAAACCCTGGATACAGGAGTATATATAGGAAACCCTGGATACAGTAGTATATATAGGAAACCCTGGATACAGGAGTATACATAGGAAACCCTGAATACAGGAGTATCTATAGGAAACCCTGGATACAGGAGTAAATATAGGAAACCCTGAATACAGGAGTATATATAGGAAACCCTGAATACAGGAGTATATATATATAGGAAACCCTGGATGCAGGAGTATTTATAGGAAACCCAGGATACAGGAGTATATATAGGAAACCCTGGATTCAGGAGTATTTATAGGATACGCTGGATACAGGAGTATATATAGGAAGCCCTGGATACAGGATTATACATAGGAAACCCTGGATACAGGAGTGTACATAGAAAACCCTGTATACAGTAGTATACATAGGAAACCCTAGATACAGGAGTATACATAGGAAACCCTGGATACAGGAGTGTACATAGAAAACCCTGTTACAGTAGTATACATTGGAAACCCTGGAGGCAGGAGTATACATGAGAAACTCAGTATATAGGATTATACATAGAAAACCCTGGATACAGTAGTATTCATGAGAAACCCTTGATATAGAAGTATGCACAGGAACTGGAAACCTTGGATACAGTACTATTCATAAGAAACCCTGGAAACAGGAGTATACATAGGAAACCCTGGAATCCTAGATTGATAAAGAAAACCTCTACTAAATTATTAAAGGATACCCTGGAATACTAATTTAATAACGGAAACCCTAGAATCCTAGATGGAAAAAGGAAACTCTGGAATACTAAATTGATAAAGAAAACCCTGGAATACTAGATTAATATAGGAAACCGTGGAACCATGATGAATGTCTAGCTGTGTACACTGCGCATTGAGATAAAGTGTAAAAGTATGAAGTAAAAGAAGATATTATGATATTCACTCATGCATGGATTATATAAACAGCATTGGAAACTCTTTACTTGGCAGAACCATGATTTGGCTTCAAGAAATAAAAACTGATTTTTATTTCTCAGATTAGAAATTAATTCTCCGCAACCTTTTCCAAACTTGGTTTAATTTTTATTCGATTACCGTCGAGTATGAACAGTAATCAGTTTAAAATCTGTTAAAACCAGATTTTGATTCAAACCTGTCAAATAATTCATGTTGAATATACTCAGATTACAATGCTTCGCATAGTGAAAACTCATCCTTTCATAACCAGTTGCAAACCGGCGTATTTTCATTAGGCTATCTTCAAGTATCAATCTATCTATCTAACCCAGGGTTCAGGCAGAGGGAGCTTGCACTGCTTAGTTGCCTGCAAGCGCCCAAAGAAATCAGTGGCTTTATATAGATGAGAGGTTGATGCGTGAACAGAAAATATATTCATCTTGTTAAACAGATATATAATATATAGACGAGTTCATCTTGTTAAACAGATGTGACAAGATAAATTGAAGGAGGAACCATGCTTTCCTATATCAGGTAGAGGTTTCCTATATCAGGTAGAGGTTTCCTATATCAGGTAGAGGTTTCCATATCATGTAGAGGTTTCCTATATCAGGTAGAGGTTTCCATATCATGTAGAGGTTTCCTTTATCAGGTAAAGGTTTCCATATCATGTAGAGGTTTCCTTTATCAGGTAAAGGTTTCCATATCATGTAGAGGTTTCCTTTATCAGGTAAAGGTTTCCATATCATGTAGAGGTTTCCTTTATCAGGTAAAGGTTTCCATATCATGTAGAGGTTTCCTTTATCAGGTAAAGGTTTCCATATCATGTAGAGGTTTCCTTTATCAGGTAAAGGTTTCCATATCATGTAGAGGTTTCCTTTATCAGGTAAAGGTTTCCATATCATGTAGAGGTTTCCTCTATCAGGTAAAGGTTAAGGAAAAAGATAATTTATTAAATTACCTAATCTTGTTAAAGTGTAACTAATCTTTAATTAATCTGAACCAGGTTTATTTACTAAGTTACAAGTCTGGTTTATTAATTAGATTAAAGTTTGCTCTATTCACCAAATCATTCACAAAACCGCACTTAAAGATATTCAAAACCATGATTTAAAGGGAGTGTAGTAGTATGTAGGGTAGGAAGGGTGTAGTGTAGGATGAATGTATAGGGTAGGATGAATGTGTAGGTTGGGATGAATTTGTAGGGTAGGATGAATGTGTAGGTTGGGATGAATGTGTAGGGTAGGATGAATGTGTAGTGTAGGATGAATGTGTAGGGTAGGATGAATGTTTGAGGTAGGATGAATGTGTGAGGTAGGATGAATGTGTGAGGTAGGATGAATGTGTAGAGTAGGATGAATGTGTAGAGTAGGATGAATATGTGAGGTAGGATGAATGTGTGAGTAAGGATGAATGTGTAGAGTAGGATGAATGTGTAGGGTAGGATAAATGTGTGAGGTAGGATGAATGTGTGAGGTAGGATGAATGTGTAGAGTAGGATGAATGTGTAGGGTAGGATGAATGTGTGAGGTAGGATGAATGTGTGAGGTAGGATGAATGTGTAGAGTAGGATGAATGTGTAGGGTAGGATGAATGTGTAGGGTAGGATGAATGTGTAAGGTAGAATGAATGTATAGGGTAGGATGAATGTGTAGGGTAGGTGAAGGATAAAGCATTAAGGATGAAGAGTGAAGGATGAACAAGGAAGGATGAATTTGTAGGGTAGGATGAGTATATAGGGTAGGATGAATATGTAGGGTAGGATGAATGTGTAGGGTAGGATGAATGTATAAGGTAGGATGAATGTGTAGGGTAGGATGAATGTGTAGGGTAGGATGAAAGTTTAGGGTAGAATGAATGTTTAGGGTAGCATGAATGTGTAGGGTGTTGTATTATGTTGTGTCTAGTATCTATATTAGGTTCTTCAAGTTAACATAGCAACACAGTGGTTCTGCACTCTTAACGATTAGTACACAGTGCTTGGTACACTTTTTAATACACAGACCAACAGTTCAAAGAACAGAACCATGAGTACATAGCACAAAATACAAAATAATGAGTACATAATGCTCAGAACAAATAGGAAACGAGGACATTTCGATCTATTTATAACATTATTTGATTAGAAGATATATAAGAACGGTACAAAATACTTATCACAACGTACTGACAAAATACTTAGAGCTTATCTAGAGGCAGTTCATAGTTGAGCAGAAATACAAAATACTTAGAGCTTATCTAGAGGCATTTTAGAGTTGAGCAGAAATATAAAACTGATAGTATTTATAATATCTCGTTCACTTACAATGTACTGAATTATAACGTTATACTGTTTATTTTTGGAAAACTTTCCTAAAATATTATTTGTTTCACTGCTGCTGGTTAGGGTTGGGAGAACATGTGCAACAAGTCCAGGGGTTTAATTATATACAGTATACACCATATAGGTTCATGAATACAATAAGAGAGTTCTATTTTAGGAACAATCACGTGATTAACTAACCCACTCTACCCCTCCCATCAACCAGTTTCCTAATCTTGAGTTAACATAATATTTACTCCGTTTAGCTCACCAGTTATTGGGTCTACAAATATAATTAAGCAAGTAATCAGCCAAATTTTATCAATCAAGGTTTTAATGAGAGATCTTAAACAAACTTCTGATCTTGGACCATTTAAAGTATACATTGGTAAAAATTTAATCTATGCGCATTGAAAAAGTTTAGTGTTTTTTTTAAATACATATACTTTTATTCAATATTTAACCTTTAGCGTATATTATTTTCCAGGACTTAAATCTAAAATACTAACATCCTAATCCATGAAATGATAAGAGACACCAGATAGTCAGAAAATTGCGCCAAGGAAATAAAAGAAATTGAGTTTCTGCCACAAACTCAAATTTTCTAATTCTTGAATTGAATTGGCAACCTAATAGTGTAAATCTTTGATATTTTAACAGAATTAATATTTTGAGATATCCTAGGTCTATTACAATGGGTTGCAAAGATATAAGGTTAGAAAATTAGATTTTGTGGCAAAAACTCAATTCTTTTGTAAAACTTTCTGTAAATCCTAAAATATTATGATTTGTCCCGGTTCCAAGCCTCAAACTTAAGCCATGAAATGTATACTAACTACACATACTGATACTGAAACAAATAAATTAACAAAATAAATACAACTTCCGCGCTTTTTCATCTGTTCTTCTCAATTCTTTTTTACAATTGGGGACATTTTTACAATTCAATTTGAATTTCAAACATTTCAAACGTTTAAATTTATAAGACATCCCAACCTGTTAACAATATGCATAAAATAGAAAAAAATAAAAATTATCCATTTTCTTTGTAACAACATTTAAATAACTAATAAATAAGAAGTTTAAACCTGAGAAAATTGCTGCTATTTGAAAACTTTACTATTCTATGAAAGGGATATGTACTGAGGATATTATACTGTGTACTCTAATATGAATATGTACTGCAGGGAAGGAGATGAACTATGGGATGTACCGGTGGTAGTGTACTGTGTGTGGACTCTAGTACTATTTATCTCCTCTCTAATAGTACTCTCCTGTCTCAGTAGAGAAACTAAGAAGTTCAACAAGAGAATCCTCCGAGGAGATTGCAAGGTAACAATTATTTGAAACATTTTAATCTTTAAAAACAGAAACTTTAAACCATCTGCATATATTTATAACTCAGCTTCGCGCACCTCTGCCCCTTTAGTAAAAGTAAATTCAACCTATATGAAGCATAAAGTCTGACCGCGTCAACCTTGTTGCACCGGCTAGTCCTGTCCATAGAGCTGGTGCAGTACAAACTAGGACCCAACTCGGTAATTCAAATGTATTACGGCTGCCCGTGAGCTTCCAGTATGTCTGATTTTAACTTTCAATTGTTTCTTTTTTAGCGATTTTTTCGTGGATTTAAAAATAATCAATTTTCTTTAAATTCTGACCATCCTGTAAACCTTTTATCAGGTGAGGTCCCTTAAAAAGTCTTGCTCGATCGGTTCAGCTGTTTTTAACGTTTATTGGATACAAATTGACAAAGAGACAGACAAGCAAAGTATATATATATAGATAAATATGAGTGTCTGAGTGTACGTGTCGATAGCTTGGATTAATGCGGGACATCGTTCTTTTCCTTTTTTTTAGATATTCTACGATTTTAGACGTTTACGGAGGCTTCGCAAAACTTTACGAAATCACACGAAATTCCACATTATATTTTCTATCTGAGCTGAAAACTTTAGAATGGAATATCCTTAATCCCGATCGGTTAATTACTCTGGAGATTAATAACAAGAGAAGTAGCATTATTTAATCCCGAGATTAAGAAAAGGAGTGGATCAAGCATTAATCCCGATATCCACCATTCAAAAGTTCCCAGCTCTGAAGATATAAGCCTGAGCTAAACAAAATCTTCTACCCCAGTTATGGTTTTCCATGGTTTATGAAAGGTTTCGAGAATACAACTTTGAAATATGTTAAGCTTCTCAGTTTTTGTGTTGATTGTCCTGAACGCCTAAAATCCTAAATGTTTAAGAAACAGATAACAGTGATGTCCTACTCTATCTTTACTATAAAAAGAGCATATTGTTTTTTTTTCAGCACTTTCTTGAAATATGTAAAATTCAACTCTTAAAAATAATTTAACAAAATAATTATTGGTATCTTGAACTTATAGACAGAGAGAAACAATTGTTACAATATATCCATCTGCAAAATAAGTTCATATCCGATATTTGATTTTTCTCCGTTATTTGATATTGCAACCAATTGAAAGAAATTGTTGACAGCCTATTTTGCTGACAAACATTAAGCAGATAAAGCATAAGTTTTTACGATAAAAAAAATGTTTATCAATTTTTTATTTTCATTTTAAAGTAATTTTTTTAAAATAAATTTGTCGCCTGAAACTAGGCATTGTAGAGAAAAACTATGATCAGTTTCACCCTGCCTTACTTATCATTGACAATTACTAACATTCATACTGTATGGTGTATTATGCGAAACTAATGTGATTCGTAAAGTTTTAATCTTGTTATCTTATTTCTAGTATATCATTATCCATGCAGTTTCTAATGTATCTAAACAGACAGTCTCTTCTGTATCCATAAAGTTTCTAGTGTATTCATACAGTTTCTAGTGTATCCATACCGTTTCTAGTGTATCCATACAGTTTCTAGTGTATTCATACAGTTTCTAGTGTATCCATACAGTTTCTAGTGTATCCATACAGTTTCTAGTGTATCCATACAGTTTCTCAGTTTAACTATAGTATATATATTCGTACAGTTTCTAGTGTGTAAAAACTGGTTTCTCCATTTATATTTTTTATGATATATTTTATAAATTTTTCTACATGGTTGTCTCGTAATTTTATGCAACATTTTTCCCCTCTATTCGCTCTTTAAAATGTTTTCCCCTTTCATTATTTAAAGGGCCTTTTAGGGTTATCACCATTTCACAAAATTTTCTCAAAGAAATATTTTCAAGAAAAAAGTGTAATAAAAAACTTTAGAAGCATTATGAATAATATATAAATCTAAACATGGTTTGGGAAAATGTGGGAAAAATAACCGGGGAATTTCCCTATACTAAAGGCGTTAAATCTCGACTAGCTTAGTTCCGACGTAGACGCTAAGAGCTAAACCTTACAAAAGTTTTGCTCTTAGATCTCATCTTCTGAAGAAAAAAATTAGTTAATTTCTTCTCTTGCATCCTATTCTCTGAGCTAAAGTGTAATATTATCTAATTACTCTTCTCCTAACATTACAATCGTTATGAACAGATAATCCTCAACAAAACTAAATCATGATGTGTTAAATAAAATAACTTTAATTAATTTTAAAAAATGAACTTACACTTTTATTTGGATCGTGGAAATACAAAAATAGATGCACAAATTAGTAATATCTTTTGTCATCTTTTCTTTTATAGCTTATCTCAAATTCTTTAATAATCCTAAATTATGTTGAATGTGTATTGTGTAACCCTCTAATTATGGACTGGCATATCCGATTCACCTCGGTACCAGGGTACCAGGGTACCAGGGTACCAGTAAAAGTTTTGTCTGATCAAGTATGAATAAGAAATCTAAGTTTATGATTCTGATTATTTTCATTTCACGGGCAGCCGTAGTACATTTGATTTCCGAGCCGGGTCAACCTTTCCGGTCCAAGTTTGTACTGTACCTAGCTCTATTGACAGGACTAGCCGGTGCAACAAGGTTGACGTGGTCAGACTTTATGCTTCATATAGGTTGAGTTTACTTTTACTAAAGGGGCAGATTTGCGTCATTTGTGGTTTCTCTACAAAAGTGACTTGCGCATTTCTTCTTCATGAAAACCAAAAAGTCACTGATTTAGGGGGGGGGGGGGGGGCATACATACCTCCCTCAATACCCCTCTGCGTATTATGAATTTTCGAATTTATAAGGCCCTGTAAGATATATATTTTTTAATTCTGTTTTATTTTTAGTTGAATATTGTTTCTGATGTCCCTGTTCTGGAAAATCTTCTCTCAAGGTTTTTGTTTATATATTCTTCTGAAATAAACAAATAAAATGTCTTTAATCTCAAACTTTTAGCAATGGATGACCGAACACCAAAGATTTAAATATGTTTGTAGCTACTCGAGCTATATTGATTATGCTAAAGTTTATTTGCATTGAAAACTAGTTTTTTTATTTTCCAATAGAACATTGAAATGTTATCAGAGCTGGGAACTTTTGAATGGTGAATATCGGGATTAATGCTTGACCCACTTTTTTTTCTTAATCTCGAGATTAGATAACGATTACTCTCCTCTTGTTATTAAACTCCAGATTAATTAACTGATCGGGATTAAGTATATTCCATTCTAAAGTTTTCAGCTCAGTCGGACTAAAATTTCATAAAATACAGATTAGTTGATCTTTTTTTGTTCTTGGATTTTTAACAATTGTTAAAGCATTTTTAATAATATTTTCTGCATTAGTTTAATTTAGCTTTTCTTCCTTATAGCGAAATGTGATTTGAGCTTAAAATGGTGTAGACTTCCTGTAATTTGAAAATAATTCTCAAAAAATATTTAAAATAAACCTTAATTCATATGATCAGTAGTCCAGTTGATTAGACACCGCTCTCCTCTAGTGATTGCCGAGTAAGCCAAAAATCATTATGATTTCATTTTTATCGGAAGTTTCTGTATTATAATACAGATTACTATTTTAAGATTTTGCCGCCAAAAATGTATTTTTTTAATTCAAACCTTTAACCTTTCAAGCTAATCCTGTCAAGTTTACACTAAAGCTTATTTAGATATGTGCGTAGTAAACTGGGACTAGGAGTTCTCCAAACCCTGGCAAACTCATTCGATAAGAACAGAACTGATATTGACGAGAACATCAGGTGAAATATATGCTTAAACAATTTTTAAATTTTTTTTTGATTTTAAGACTTGAATAATTAAAGTTTAAATTCAAAATTTTCGCAGATTTTTAAGTTTTACCACTCATGGAGAACTAGAAAAGTTTTGTTTTGAAGGCACTTATGAAACATGGCCAGGGACACAAAACCCTACCAGCTTCAGATATATTGATTTTGTGGTTTTCAAGCTGAAAACAGAATGAATAAATAAATAAATTAATAAATTTAAATGTAGATTGGATATACAGAGATGGTTTACATCCAGGAAATCTGAGCTAAAAGGAATGAACTACGATGATAAACAAATCAGAAAAATTATTCTCAGCGCTATCAGGTTTATTTTTCATTTAAAAGTTTCTTAATCACACTCAGGCATATCTAGAGAGATGAAATTGAGAATATAAATCATTTCTATTTTATCAATTTGCTTTTAACTTGTCAATCCAGCTAGATACTGCACCATGCGCACATGTTTCAAATTTTTCTTAGTGGTTTTATTTTATCCTTTAAATCAAAGTTCTATTTTTGAATTTCTGCTTTGAGTTCCGTTGCACCTTATCAGTTTCTTTTTAACATCTAATTTTATCTTTCTTCAGAGTAATTAAATATTTAGATCTGGTTTGACCAAGAACCCTCTGGATCTCCGGGGTAGCCGACTAGCTCTAGAGGGAGCTAAAGTATTCCTTGAACTAGAGAATATGAAGGAGAATGTATCCTTCCTTCAAACTTCTCTCTCCGTTCCTAAACCTCGTGGTGAAACTACTAACGGAGAGAGAACGGTTTGTCCGACTATTGCCTGTGATTGGGTAGCTTCAAAAACGTTGAAATTTCTCAGGAAACTGAACCCTTATTCTATTCATAGTTTGTTGATAAATAAATATTTCCAGTATGCATGATTGTAATCTGGAACTCAATATATTTTGGCAAACATTTTCATGGGACCGACATTACAACCTCTCTAATTACAAATAAAACCTTTGCTATTTCAAACTTTGATTATTTGATCCAACAGAATTCATAGTTTGAAACATTAAAGGTCTTCGAAAGGAATTGAGTCTTTGCCACAAACTCTAATTTTCTAATCACTATATCATTGGAACCAAATGTTGAAGACCTCAGATATTTCAAACTATGAATTCTGTTAAATCAAATAATCTGAGTTTGAAATTTCAAAGGTTTACAACATCGAGTTCTAAAGATATTGAGGTTTAAATATTTGATTTTGTTCCAAAGACTCAATTCCTTTGGTTGGAAAGATATAAGGATTAGAAAATCGAAGTTTGTGTCAAATACTCAATTCCTTTAAGTTAAATTATTCAATTGATTTATTCCATTAAAAAAGTAATGATCTCATGAGTTACAGGACATATTGCCGCAATACTTTGTTTATTCCTGGGTTTCTGTTAGTTGCCTGATTTCCCACCCTAACACAACCCCCTTGCTCTTCATCCTCTTCTCATTCGCTGTCTGGTTGTTCGACACTGTCTCTGATATGGCGATCATTGATAAGTTCTGGAACTTTCGTCTTCCAATTCTGTATCCTAAGAATGATTCGGAAATGAGGGAAATAACTTATTTAAGTTATCAGACTCTCACCATAGGTAATTATTGAATAATTTATGTAAACAATCCCTTCAGGGGCGTATTCAAGAGTTTGTCCAAGGGGGAACTTAAATTTTTTTTCTTGCTAGGAGGGATGGGGCTCATCACTCATTGGTGCCCAAAACCCCCAGTAAAACTATAGATTTTACTGACTCATGGGGGGGGGCTGAGCCTGACTAATCCTTTAATGTAAGCGAAACCTTCAGTGAAATTACACATTAACGCCCCAACCTTTGGAATTAAGAATACAATTGGCCCTCAGGAACATATTTGAAAAGAACGATAAGCTTGGTTGTGTGAGTTGTGTTGTTCCTATAATATCAAAGATTGGGATAATAGTTGAATTTAGAAAAATATGAACCCTGAATATATCTTTAAAAGGATTTAATAATTTGCATGAATATAAGTGAAGTTGTATTCCTTATTTCAAAGGTTGGGTGTAATTTTTATTTTGAAAAGATCCCATTAAAAACAAGAATACAGATAACTTGAAAATTTCTGGACAGTCCCTTTTTAACATGTTTCTTTTATTTTTAGATTTGTATGCTCCTCTTCTTCTTCTCTTCCTTCTCTTCTCACTCCTGTTCACACTTCTATCCTGCTCCTGCTCCAGGTACAGATTAATATAGGACTCCAGGCACAGATAAATAGGGACTCTAGGTACAAATTAATACAGGACTCTAGGTACAAATTATTACAGGACTCTAGATACAGATAAATAAGGACTCCAGTCCCCAGGTACAAATCAATGAAAGACTCCTAGTACAGATTAATACAGGATTCTAGGTTGTGATTAATACAGGACTCCAGACACAGATTTATAAAGGACTCTAGGTACAGATTAATACAGAACTCCAGGTACAGATTAATACAGGACTCTAGGTACAGATTAAGACAGGACTCCGGGAACAGATTAATACAAGACGCCAGGTACAGATTAATGCAGAACTCCGGGAACAGATTAATACAGGACTTCAGATACAGATTAATACAGAACTCCAGGTACTCATTAATACAGACCTCCAGGTACAGATTAATACAGGACTCTAGGTACAGATTAAGACAGGACTCCGGGAACAGATTAATACAAGGCGCCAGGTACAGATTAATACAGGACTTCAGATAAAGATTAATAATGCAGGAGACGTAATATTTAAATAAATAAGAAGGAAGATAAAGTTATATTTTAGAAATTCCTATATTTAAGTTATAACAATATTGATCACAGATTTCAGCTGATTTTAGTTTTGTCTAAATAAGAAGTGTTCTTATTTAGGATTGTTAGCAAATTCATTGTTCTCTAGGTTAAGTGACAAGTACAGAGTTGCTTGTGAGTACGCTAAACCTGAGAGAGAGATACCAGGTTCACATGATCAGGATCCAACCACAATACTTTCCAGGTTAAACTCATGTGTCTTCAATCAATGTGTAAAATCTGGAATTAAACATACAGCGGGATCCATAAATTAAAGAATAAGATGACAAGTGTAAGTCTCAAGTTATTAGAACTTTAAAATGAACATGAAACAGAGCAATTTTGTACTGTACACAGTTACACAGACTAATTTTACTTAATTTTTAACTGTAGTCTTATATTAACATCACATACACAAATGATTGCTTAAATATCGTCTTCCTAGTTTAGTGGGTCTCACTGTAGAGTCTTTACTTCAAGTTTTGTTTAGGTATGATTTTAATATTGCAAGCGCTACAACCTCTTCTCTACCTCAGTTCTCTATTCAGTTCTCCGCGTACATAATTATACTGTACATGTTGGAAACCTTGAAGGTAATATCCCTCTCCATAACACCTATGAGACTATTCCAGCTAAAATCTGGAGACCTATTTCATTTAGATCTGATCTGTTCTTTCTTGATGTGTTATGACCCTTTTTTCTAAACATTTCAATAATTATTAATTTTATTAAAGATGTTTAATATCTAGGGTTTAAGTATTGATCAGGCCACAAAAGAACAGATCGGAGGCAAGATTGAAGAATTCAGGTAACTTTTTTACCCAGGGTATCCCATCAAAGGGATGACTAGGAATTTGGAGCCCTTTTATCCATTTAAAACTTTTAAATCTTGAGGGGATTATTTTTTTCATCGTTTAACCTTTTTGGGACTACTTGGTTATTTTTTGGGAAGGGGGGGGGGTCGAAATTTGTCAAATCCAGTCTTACAACGTATGCTGACCTCAGGGTATTCTAGGTGTCAAAACCTTAACAAGTTAAACCCTAAAAGAACATTCTTAGTGCAAAACAGAGCAACCCACTTGTAGAATAACCTTTAAGATCTGACCTAAAACACACTTAAAGATTTGACAGTATAACTATGAGCCTTCTTTATATTTGCAAAAAACTAATCTATAAAATAAGGCTCTTTGCTCATTAATATATATGTTCGCTATGGCTGGTCAAACCAATGGGCCAAATTGGATGAAATGTTTGTGGGAAGCCATGGGTACCCCACAGGTGTCATAGGACAAAAAAGAAATTTTTTCAATGTGTACTCCGGCTAGTTTATTATTTTATTTATCTACCAGTTCAGTGTATAAAATCAAATATTTATATATTATTTTCTTATTAGTTTTGTCTCTCTCTGGTTCTCTGGTATAGGGAGTGCTTTAGCTCTGATAGTTGCACAATACTCAGCTTTTAAGATTCAACACGAACACTCCCTTACTCTCTCACAGAGGTAATTTAATACTCGTATAAACTGATAAACATTATTTCAGAGGACTTGGAGTGCAGTATAGGAGCAGTAGAAATTAAACACTTTAGATCTTTTTATATATATATATTTTATCATTTTTAATCTAATCTAATCTAATCTAATAATTTATTTTTCCGTTGAAAATATGACAGGTTGTGCATAAAAATTACATATTTATTAGTTTATTAATTATCAACGGAAGGAGAGCAGCCATAGCAGAGCTGTTTTCAGGTTGGTCTCCTGGCAGTTTACCGTGGTATCAATTAGAACTGAATTGATGTGATACGTCGTGGGACTGGGTTTGGAGAAGACGGAGGAACAGGGTCAGATTTGCTCAATTAACATGTTATAAATTTGGTTCTTGATTTGAGACAATAGGCAGAAAACAGAAACAGAGGCGCCAGGAACTATTGCATTCCTAATTTTTTTGCGTTGCAAAAAAAATTAGCAAAAGTTTAAGTTCCACCCATTAACAATACCTTTTCCAAAAAAAGCAATGCCAGAGCACTGATTTTTATAAGAAGGATTTTAAAAAATGCAAATTGCTTGACTTAAAAATCCATTGTCATAGAAAGAAAAATTATGTGTNTAATCGGGATCTGGCCAGTACTAAAAGATAGATTAAAGATATGAGACAGAGGTTCAGAAATCTCAGTTGATACGGCTTTTATCAAAACTAGAGCCCAGGAATTGTAGACGTAGTTTCAAAAAATATTTTAGGTGTCCAATCCTTGAAGATGAAATTATTTATAAAAATCTGGCCACCGAGGCAGGGAACCCCGGCCGACATGAGCCTCCCAGATTTTCTATGCAATCCGAGCCTCCACTACGGAGTATGGGGCCTCCGCCTTAAAGCACCGACTTAATTTTGGGTTTTATGTGCAACGAAAAATTTAAGGCTTAATGTAGTGGCATGAGCATTTCATTTAAGATTTGAAGAATGTCATTATTAGTAACTTTCATGGATTATTAATTCAAAAAGAGGTTTGAAAGATTTAAAAACATTTTTTACGCAGAAAGTCGAGAAATACATGGTGTCCCACAAAACATGACAGTAGCAAGACTACTTGAAGGTAGTTTTTGATCTTAGTTATAATTTGCTGCTTTTATTTGTTAACCTTATTTTAGAAGTAAAATTCTAGAGATGTTAATAACAAAATGTGGTTTGCCGGTTTTGTGCTTTCAATATTAGCCGAGATATGAAGAGTTTCCTTCAGATTTCGACAATTTTTGTTTTATTTAACAAAATTGAAATCTAAACAAAATTCTTAATAACCATGTTAATATTTACAGCACAAAAAAGACAGACCTCATTTTGGAAATGCCAGGACTAGGAGAATATACTGCTAATTATTTCAAGAATCATTAATGTTTAAGTAGATTTACGACTGAATGTCACAAATAAATTCCAAGATCAAGACAACTTTCAAGTTGTCTTGCAATTGTCATGTTTCGTGGGACACCCTGATATGTATGGAGCTAAGTTTATGAAAAAATGTTTCGATTTCGGCAGATGATGAAAATTTACTATATTCAAAGAGAAGTACAGAAAAGGTATTGCATAATCAAAAATACTAAAAAAAATTTCTTCAATTATTTTCCGTTTTACAAAAAAAATTCTAAAAATATTATTAACCACTGTATAATTCAAGATTTAGCAAGATTTAGAATAATTTATAAATACTTCTGATTTTTGATAAGTTGTGAAAATTCTTTTATATATTTAAGATCTTCTGTAGCACGCTGGCCCCTTGTTATGTATTGCGCGGGCTCATCACTGTATATAGAATAGCTCGTACTGCCTGATTCTCGGAGGCTCTCATGATGAGGGAAGGGACCCCGGGACGCTAGTGCAATAATTATGACTGATAAAGTTGTATATAAAATTTTCAAACATTTCTATGAAAGGAAAATGTTGGAAATTGATTAATTTGAATTTCATTTCATTTCGTTTTATATAATCTTTGATTTGAGCGATACCTTTCATTGTAGTTTAAATTAAATCTAGAAAATATGTATAATTTATTTAAATCTTAATACTTTTCCAAAAACTGTATTGTTTAAATCAAAGATTACAACAAAACTAACTAAATTTACTCCAGAAATATTTCTCCAAATATCTTCCTTCCTGCGTAAGAAATGCTTCCGAGTTCCACTTTATTTGTCATAATTTGGTACCATTAATAATAATTGATAAATACTTCTCTTCTTTGAGAAACCTCTCATGCCACTATGTCGAAAACCCCTGTAAAGTCTATGCACAAATTTAACAACAACCTCCCGTATTACACAGGCACATGTGATGTATTGCACATGCACATATGATGTATTGCACAGGCACATTTATGCATAGCAGAGGCTCATGGCTTCCCTCACTCTCATGTTCATTAAGCTGTGGATTTTCACCTTAAGCCACGTTAAAATTAAAAATTTAACCTGCAAGAGTCAACGTCCTTTAAATTAATCTAATGGTATATACGAAAAATATTCCCGTTTTTACTTTAAACTTTAGGTTAGCCATTACTCACACAGAAGAGTTTTCTTTTAATCAAGTTTGGACACAATTCACGTGAATTCAAATATTCCAACATGATTAATTCTAATCATGTCAATATGGCCAGATTTAATTAAAAAGTTGCATCTTCAAGGATGGGACTGATATAAATGGTTGATAAATCTTTNTTATTATACTCTGGTTTAACTTTACTGTGTTTAGATCCTTCCTGTAGATGGAGTTCCTTTATATACTCTGGTTTAACTTTACTTTGTTTAAATCCACCATGTATTCTGTACTCTGTGTTTAGATCGTCCTGGCAGGTTACCATGTCCTTCAAGGATATCCTGCATGAGAAGGTTGTAATGATTGATCCAGCTCTCCGGAATAATCAAACAAACATAAGCGGATACTATGGGACTCCTTATTCCTTCGGGATAGATCCAGTGTGGCAGCTCTCCATCAACAAGATCGTGTTTCTGAACTCCTTCAAGATGAAGGTTTCGATCATCCTCGGCGTTATTCACATGCTCTTTGGGGTCTTCATCTCCTTCATCAACAGCAAGTACTTCGAGAAGCGTGTTAATATCATCTGCGAGTTCATTCCTCAGTTCATGTTCCTTACCTGTATGTTCGGGTACATGTCCCTGCTGATGTTCCACAAGTGGACTTCCTTTGTTGCCGGAGGGTTCGATAATGATATTCTCACCACGGAGAGATGCGCTCCATCCATCCTGATCACCTTCATCAACATGGTGCTCTTCAAGGTGCACTTTGTTTTAAGTTATTAGAGACTGGGGCCGGGAATTAGATATGAAGTTTGAAGTAACCCTGTTTTTAAAAATACATATAGTTTTAAGTCAACAAAATGAATAAAAATCTAGAATCAATTCTTCAATTGAAAACGTTATGTTACTACAAAAGCTATTACAGTCACAAAAAAAGCTAAGGCGGGGCATTTTGATAACATTTTTGTAAAAAAAAACCGTATATATATTTATAGTAATAGTTAAATTTCAGGATAACGAACCTGACAGCCCTGAGTGTGAAGCATACATGTACGCCGGTCAGCACGGTATTCAAAGGTTTCTCATCCTGCTCGCTCTCATCTGTGTTCCCTGGATGCTGTTCGCTAAACCTCTTGTTCTCAAGAAAGAAGCTGCTTCCAAACCAAACGTACACTTCGATATTGTGGAGACCATGATTCTACAAGGTATAACAATTTTTCTTAAAAGCTAGCAAAAAATTAGTTTATATTTTTTGACAACATTTTTAAAAACTTTTTCTGTTAACACCTCGATGTCTCGATGTGTAAATTCGGATGGGGGGGGGAGGCAGACCCCTTATGCTGGCTTTAAACAAAAGTTGATTTTACTGAATGTCCGAAGTATCCGGCATCTGAGTAAAATTTGATAGTTCGCATTTTTATAATTATTACGGTAACATAAAACATATTTAAGGAATCCATACTATTGAGTATGCTCTTGGAACCATCTCTCATACTGCATCCTATCTCCGACTGTGGGCGCTTTCTCTAGCCCACGCTCAGCTCTCTGAGGTTCTCTGGAACATGGTTCTCCGGGTTGGACTCCAGAGGGATCATTGGTATGGGGGAATCATTCTCTGGGTTATATTTACAATCTGGGCAGTTCTTACAGTTGGAATTCTTTGCTTGATGGAAGGTCTCTCAGCTTTCCTTCACACTCTCAGGTATAGTCTAACTCAGCTTTCCTTCACACTCTCAGGTATAGTCTAACTCAGCTTTCCTTCACACTCTCAGGTAAAGTCCAACTTAATGTTACGGATACTGATCCGCTCGATAATTTTTTTAACGTTTAGCTTTTTAAATGAAAAAAAACGCATACTGTTTTCGGGATTTATTTATATACCCTGGAGATTGGAGAACCTTTGAACCGTTGGGAACTGATATATGATCTGTTTATAAATCCAAAATAAATAATATGCTAGCTTACATGATACAGTAACAATAAAAGATAGTTTGGGTTAACATTTTTTTTCATTTTGGGTTGTCCAAACATCTACTTATTCATGTACAGTGAATCCCAGATATATGGATACATAGACCGTCATAAGTTTTATGTTAGTTCTACAGAAACTTCTTTTTATTTATAACTCAAGGTAAATGAAAAGCCCTGAAATATGAATGCAATTGCTATATTAATATTAAACTCATAATTCCGCGGCATTTGATCTTAAATATATAATACAACATTATAAAAAACTCTTGCTATGTATTCATATATCTGGGATTAACGGTACAATATATGTACTAAAGATACATAAACTCTATGTAAAATTCATTTACAATTTTAAGAACATTTCTGTGTAACATGTAGCTACAGGGTTGCCCACAAAGGATAAGACTGTAAAGACGACCTAAAACTCTAAAAATGTGACGATTTAAAGCTTGATGTTTGGTTTCCGCATGTAATTAATTATTTTGAAGAAAGGAACCTGAATGCAAGAAAACGGACTTAAAAATATTCCGTACAGTCGTCTTTAAAGTCGCATCCTTTTTGGGTAACCCTGTACTTAA